ATTACTTTCATGCTATCAGAGAATGGAATTTGTGTTGATTTATTTTATCCTCTAACAGACTAAGCTCATTGCCTTTAATACACGTAGCAGAGAACTACTGAGCCAGTGACTAAACAGCAACAATTGCTGTGTTGGAAGTAGATCCAGGCTTCTGCTATGGTGTGAGGAACACGGGGGTGGGGGTGGGGTAGAAGGAGAAGCATAGAAATCCTTCAGAGAAAGCTGGACTCCTGGTCACGGGCAGCTTATTTCATTGGCTTTATGAGATCCAGAAGTGAAACTACCTTGTATATTGAGTCACTGGGGGGGGGGTGGGGGGTGGGGGATGTATAGGTGAGATGTCTCCAAAGGGAACGGAACATCTGAAATCCTCCCAGATAGGAGTGATGCAGACTGTAGCAGCTCTGGGGCCAAGTGTCCTGGTGAATGTATTTACTGCCAACACTGGCCACCATCACTGTGGCTACCTTTGCCTTGTAACTCGCAGATACATACCACCACCACCACCACCCTTGGATTGTTGGCACTGGTGTTTTCACTCAGCAATAATTACATTACTTTCAAATGATACGACTGACTACAGATATACTGCAAGTTATAGACTATGTCAAATGGTGATTTTATTCTATATAATATTTTTAGACAGAACTAATACAAGTAAATCATATCCATGTATGAATTTGGAACTCCTCTATTTTTAGAAGCACTGAAATTTATCTATCTATCTATCTATCTATCTGTCTGTCTGTCTGTCTGTCTGTCTGTCTGTCTGTCTGTCTGTCTGTCTGTTTATCTTCCTACCTACAGAAAGAGTAACTCTATATTATCCTGGGTGTCATAGAGATTTATCTGCCTCTGTCTCCTGAGTGCTGGGATTAAAGGTGTATGTCATCACACAGGGCTGAAATTTGTCTTTCTGATTCCTTGTTGTAAAGAGGATTTCTGAGTCACAACTTAGTCTCCTGAATGGATCTGCCTATTACTTGATAATAGTTGGAAGAGAATTGCTGCTACAGGCATGTGAACTGGTTATGCTCCTCACAATTAATGCAGTGATTAACTCATGCGGTCTTCTGGTTAATGGTGGTTTTCCCTCAGCAAATATTTATTGAGTAGCTGCTGTGCAGCAGGCTGGGTCAGAAACTGGACAGTGAAGAGAGCTTGTGAGGTCCTTTAATTTCCTTTAATTACAGTCTCGAGATGGTTCTGGGCATGATTAACCCTAGATCGACCAGTCTAGCCTAATGAGCGTCTTAAACTACAGAGTACACCATCGGGTAAGCCTGCGTTTCTGCCTTGAATTACAATCTTTGTACTGAGGGAAAACAGACAGAAACATTGCTAGGTAAGGTTACTCCACACACTGAGAAAGTGAATGAAGCTGGAGGCTGAAGGCAGGGCTGTAGCCTCATTGTGCTTATCGATCTATTCATTTATTTTCAGTGCTTGGGATGGAACCTAAGGCCTCCTATATGTTAAGGATGGAGATACCTCTGCCCCACCCAGCATCAAAAACTTTAAACTATCAGCACTACTATCCACTACTCTCAAGTTCTTATAAAGTCAAAACAACTATAATACTGTGACATAGCAAGTATGTATTTGGTCTTCTGTCCTAGGTTCAGCCACAAGAGCTTCTAAAAGTCTTTAGGATCACCAGAAAGATAAGAGTGTATGTATGCCAAGGCAGTGCTCAGGGTGGGAACTGTCTGCCAGAAAGCCCCCAGCATGATTAAGTATTGGAACTTGCTGCCCTCTCCAGATTTCTGAGGAATGAGGACAGAGATGCTGTTAATTCCCAACGGCCAGTGACCGATCACTCGAGCCTGTGAAGCAGAACCTAACCATCCTGAACACATCTACATGCCAGTGTCACCAATGCTGGGAAAGAACCCCCGCACCAGGGACCTTCCAGACCCTGCAGTAAGTACCTCTTTATCTATCTGCTCATTTGTATCTTTTAGAACAGCCTTAATGTTAAATTGGGAACAACCAAGAAGGGATTCTCTTAGCTGTGCAAGCCATTACTGCAGATGATCAAAACTGAGGAACAGGAAATCATTTTTAGTTAAATCAGAAGTGCAGGCAGCTGGAGACCCAGTACTTACAGCTGGTATCTCCAGTCAGGGTCAGTCTTGTGAGATGAGCCCTGGACCTGGGGGTCTGGGGCTAAGCCTAGTTAGTAAGTGTCATAAACCACACCACCAGCTGGTGTCTGTAGTGAAATAGAAACTGTTTGATGCAAAACATAGTTACATATTTGGTGTCTGAAGTGTTCTGTGAGTAGGATCTTAATAGTAGTTAGTAATAAACCTTCACAGGGGCTGGAGAGATAGCTTCGTAGTTAAGAGCATTTGCTGCTCTTCCAGAGGACCCACACTGGATGGCTCAAAACTAACCTATAACTCCATCTTCATGAATCTGACATCTTCTGGCCTCTCTGACCCCCAACACCCAAAGTAATTCTTCATTTAAAAGTTTTGCCATCACACTCAACAATGAAATGGGCTCCAGAAGGTTTGGCTCTAAGATTTACAATCTTCTTGAAATCTTTTCATCTTACAAAAAAAAAAAAAAAAAAAAAAAAAAAAGACTGGATTATGTAATGTCTTTCAAGCCAACATGGAGCCTTAGAACTGACCTTAGGTGAATCCAGTGTGATTTCCTGTGGGAACAGCAGGATTTTTTTTTTTTTTTCCATCTAGATGGACACACTTTTATCAGACTGTAAGGACCAGGGGTACGTGTTTGTGCGGTTAGACATGGAAAATTTCTTTTTCAATCTCAGGAGATAGTGATCTCACACAGAATGAAGGGTCACTGGTCAAGTATGTTGTGCTTGAATCATGTCTGCTCAAGGCTAGCTCTGTTTACTTAAAATTTTTGAGTCAGCATCTCATATAGCCCAGGCTGCCCTTGAACTTGTTATTTAACTTAGGATGACCTCGAACTCTTGATCTTTCTGCCTCTACCTCCCAGGTGGTAAGATCACAGTCATGTTCTCCATGCACAGCAAGGACAGAATTAAATTAACCTCACAGTGCTGAACATCCCTATTTTATAGACTACTATTTTACGTTATTTCATCGCGTGTGAAGAAAACGCAACGTTCACCAAAGCTCTGCTGCCATCTGCCCTCTCCTCAGGCAGGGAAGGACATGGTAGTGAGGGAGGCCTCTGGAAGGGAACTCCCAGGAAGTGCTGTCAGCTCCACAGGGAGCTTCTGGGTACGGGGATGAGGAGGAGGGGTGTACTGGTGGTCAGCCCGACTGATGGCAATGGCACTTGTGTCGGCAGCTGGCCACATTGAATGAAGGGAAGAGGCTGTCAGAGATGTGGGGAGGAGGGACAGGAAAGACTAAGGTCCCTTGCTTTTCCCTTCAACCCAGTCACTCACTCTCCTTCTGCGAGGAGGAGTCACTATTGTCTTCTCTCTGACTTCTAAACAAGCTGGAGCCACATTTCCCTACCCTCTTCAAGTCAAGTGTGGCCATGTACCTTGCTTTGATCAATGAAGGGAATAAAAGTGATTAAGCTGCCATTTCCTGGTAAAAAATGTTTAAAATCTGGGTTTGGTTTTCCATCCTCCTCCTTTGCTGAAGTAAATGGACCTATTGATAGAGACATGCTATCTGATTAAAGAGACAGACAAAAACTTTGCATGAATCCGGGGAACAGGCCAAACAAACCAAGCAAACTTATTACACTGGCGTCCATGGGATTGTGGGGTACTTATCCAGGCTTTCTTCTCTCACTGACAGTCTCTCATCATTCTTGCCTCTGCCACTCACTACCAATGTTCTCCTAGCTGGAAACACTCATATTACATCTAACACAGCAATAAATCCACACTTCTGAAGAAGATGTGTAAACATTTCTTATTTTGTTTTACACATCTAGATGCTTTGCTGCATGTATGTGTACCATACCATGTGCATGCAGTACCCTTGGCAGCCAGAAGAGGGTACTGGATTCCCTGGGACTGGAGTTAAAGACAGTTATGAGCCACAATGTTGAGTACCAGGCATTGAACCTGAGTCCTCTGGAAGAATAGTTAGTGTTCTTAACTGCAGCCATTTCTCTAGCCCCCCAAAATGGGTAATTTTAAAATTAAACATCTTATATTCCTTTTTAAAATTAGCATTTTGTATTTCTCTTTTGAATTTGGTTTAACATAGACAGGCCCTTAAGTTATCAACAAACAAACAAACAAAAACAAACATCAACTGTCCCCAAAGACCATTAATTAATTAATTAATAACCATACTGTTCAGAACACCCTACATCAGCCAGGCATGGTGGCACATGCCTGTACTCCCAGCACTCTGGGAGGCAGAGGCAGGCAGATCTCTGTGAGTTCCAGGTCAGCCTGTGAGTCCAGGACAGCCAGAGCTACACAGAGAAACCCTGTCTCAAAAACAAACAAACTCAGGTGACAAACACCCTGAGTCACCTGCTTTCTGAGCTCCCAAAGGCTCAGAGCAGGAAGACCACTAAGTTAGTCAAGAAGGCAGCTGGAGCCAAGGCCTATTGGAGACCACAGGATATCTACAGTCATCCAAAGAGCTCTTCACTTCCATGCATATTCATTCATAACATATTATTTGGACCTGAGGTCACTCCTACCACCCGGAAAGCTGTTTTAGGCAATTAAGGTCACTCCAGACACAAAACCAGAAGAAAATAAAAGAACATGAAAATGCAATGGTAGCCTGGCTAATCATGCATAATTAAATAAGCAGAAATTAAACAAGCTTGGGTTTAAAGTCAGAACATGCTCCCCTAGGTAAACAGGGCCCAGCCTTAGGCCACTGCACACCATCATGGAGGGAAACTTCTGAGGGTTTTACCCATAACCATCTCCTCCGAGATCATGTGATACAAGGAGGGAAGGGGAAGGTACGGAACAGAGGAGCATGCAAAAAAAAAAAAAAAAAAAAAAAAAAAATTAAAAACAGAGAGAAAGAGAGATGCTGGGGAGAATTCTGAAGTCCACTTACTGCCTGTTTTTGCTCTTCCTCCTAGAGGTGTTGAAGATGAAAAAAGGCAGAAGAGAAAAAGAAAGACATTAATGCCTGTCACAAACACTGTAAAGAAATGACAGGAGAACTGGGTAAACTTGGCCAAGCAAAGGTCTGGAAGCAATGGCCAGATTCACCAGAAGAGTACCAGGGGGTTACAGTAAATGACAGTCCTCAGTCCCAAAACTGGTTAATGAGTACAATGGTGACTTCCAAAGAACCTTAGAAACCATTTAGTTCAATTTCTTCCTCCTCCTCCTCCTCCTCCTCCTCCTCCTCCTCCTCCTCCTC